ATTTGCACCCGCAGCTCGCGGCCGTCCAGCACGGCTCCGTCCATGGCATCCATAGCGTCCTCGGCGTCCCGCTTGTCGTGGAAGCGGACGAAGGCGAAGCCGCGGGACTCCTTGGTGTAGCGGTCCCGCGGGATGTACACGTCGCCAACGCGCCCGTACTTCTCGAAGACGCGCCTCAGCGTGTCGGGCGAGGTGCGGTAGGTCAGGTTGTCCACCTTGAGGGAGGTCATACCCTCCACATCGGGAGGGGGGCGGCCGTAGCTCATGGCTCTGACTGGCGGCCCGGAGCCCCACGAACTGGCGCCGACTTCCTCAGCTCTGGGCGGTGCGACGCCGCGCCTCTTAGGCAGCTGCTTTCCGCGTGGGGACGCTGGGAAAGGCCTTGCAGGAAAACAGGGCAGACAAGCTCCGCCAGCGAGCGCACCTGAGCAACAACTGAGCGGGTGGCCGGCCCCAGCGCCCGTTTATTTCGCTCCTCACAAAATGGCGCCCGCGCCACCCGGAAATGAAATCCTCTGATTGGCCTGCCGTGCCCCCCCCGTAACGTCCATGACGCGCGCCCCGCCCCTACCCGAAGCGCCTGCGCACAGCCCGGCGGGCGGGCCAAAAAGCGCGGAGTCACGGCTGGAGGGAGGGGGAGCGGAATTAGCGGGCAGTTGGAAAGCCCGCGAAACGCTTTTTCCGCCTGGGAGGCCGGAGGACCGCGCTCGGGCAGGAGGAAGAGGAGGTGCTCCCCATCTGGGCTCCACCTTCTTTTCATGCCAGTACTCAAAGTTCACGCCCCTTTTTTGCTCAGCCGTCAGCCCGGTCTGTGAGAAGGGTGCTTCTGCCCTCATATGCCTCTCCCTGTGACCCCGGCCCCTTCAGACTCCGCTACGTCGTCTCTCGGCCCCGTCCAACAGCTCCTGACTACTCTTCGCCGGGGTCTGCTTCCCAATTCGCTTTCGCCAGAGCCCGCGAGCTCAGTCGGCTCTGCGTCCTGGCGGTGGGGAGTCCTCGCGGAGCCCCTGCGCGTGCCAGGCCATCCGGGACTACGTTTCCCAGCGGGCCGAGCGGACGGCGCCGATGCTGCGGTCAGGTGACCCGGTCGCCTGACCGCAGTGAGTGAGGCCGGGAGGGCGGGGCCGCGCCGGCTGCTGGGGCTCGCCCTTGGCCCTTTAATCCCCTTCGTGGGCCCCTCAAGCTGGAGCGGCCACGTTCTTGGGGCTTCGCCGGGGGTTGTGCTCTTCCGTACTCGGATCGCTTCTTAGAAATATTCTAACTGCCGGTGGGGAGAACTGCGCCCTAAACCTGGGATTCTGATCCAGGAACTGGAAGTTGACAGCTTGGCTGCCTGGCTCCTGCATCTGCCTTCTCCACTCACCATCTCATTTCTTTCTCCAGGATTGTCAGTGGCTTCGCCCCGAGGAGAGCTGACTGCCCTGGGCTGCTGCCTCCGGCAGAGCTGAGCCAAAATGTCCCCGGAATCTAAAAAGCTTTTCAACATCATTATTTTAGGAGTTGCCTTTATGTTTATGTTCACTGCCTTTCAAACTTGTGGAAATGTGGCGGTGAGTTGGAATCTGTCCTCCCTCCTTTGAAGTGCCCATCATAATGCATTACAGAAATGATAATAAACGTTAATTATATCTAATAGCGCGCTTTAATTGCATCTTTTATTTTTCCCACCCAGGCTTCCTCATTTGTTATGATTAGGTTTGATTTCTTGTGTCAGACATTCTCTTATATGGGGGAGTTAAGCATTACCGTTTATCTGATTTGATTAGGGATTTGGATGTTAACCTATTTTATTTCTTGTCTGCATTAAGCTCTTCCTTAGTACTTGGATGGTTAAGGAAGGAAACCCAAGGCGTAGTTACAGCTGGTTGTCCTCCCCCGTCCCTGTCATTGGTTTGCCTTCTCCAGTTACGTTGTCCTTTTTCTTTTCTCATAATGGACTTCAGTGTTAGGTACATTATGAACTTTTACTTTATTCTCTTGCTGAGTACTTGGAGTCACACTTCCGAAGTGGGGGAGGGAGACTGGAAAACGTTTTCGTTGATGAGTTTTATCTTCCACACAGCAAACTGTCATCAGGAGTTTAAATAGCACAGATTTTCACGGCAGTGGATATACCAGGTATTGTACCGTATGATTGATTTTGTTTTATATTTAACAGTAGTTGCTTAAATCTGATCAGAATCACCAGCAACAGAATATTGCGATTGAATTAGTGGTGATTGCATTTTCTCTTCTCCGTACCTAGACTGAGAGAACGCAATAGAATAAAGTTGATGAGTTTAGGTTTCCTGTGGAATTAGACGCTAGGTTTGAAATCCTGACTTTACAAGGTATTTATTGCACTGTTATCTTAGGCAAGTGTTTCCACGAGCCCAATTTCCTAGCTCAGACAATGCGTCTCTGGGCACAGTGCGTAGCATTGAATAAGCACTCTAGTATTGTCATGATTAGAATTCCTAGTCCTGAACAGAAGATGTTGTGATTCTTGAACATTTGGTTCTTCTGGTTTTGTAATTTCATAACGATTAATATACGTATGTCAGGAGCTTTTAGATTTTCGTTAAGGTGTTTAGTCCCAATTTTATAGATGGGTAAAATGAAAAGATCTTCATAAGTCACTAGAACCTTGTGATTGGAGCTGGGAATGTAATATGTACCGATATATATGCACAAACAGGTTTTTTTTTTTTTAAATTAGATTTTTTAATTGACAAATGAAAATTGCATATTATTTGTTGTGCACAACATATTTTGACATACGTGCCATGGAATGGCTACATTGAGCTATAGAAACAGGTTCCTAATTTCTCTAGAGTTAGAGATTGGATCATGGCACCCCCCTCAACCTCCAACAAATCCATAACTTATACTTGGTTCTTTATCCCTATCCTAAGCCTTGTATGTCATATTTGAGAATGAAGGGATGTTACTGTCCGTTTTTCTAAGTGATTAGTAGCACAGCTTTTTGTACTTCTTTGTCTTCATGTGTGTTCTAAAGAACAAATGCAAAAACACATTTGATATTTGAGAGATTCATAAAAACCAAAGAATAATTTACTTTGGATTTATGAATAGTGTCTAGTAAATGAATTCAGGGCCTTTGAAATGGTTTTAGTCACACTTCATTCAAGACGTATGTACTAGGGCTGGGTCAGTAGTAACTGAGTAATGTTCAAGTGAGACCATTAGGTTGAGTTAAATAAATTCTGGCTCAAGCAAGTTGTAACTCTGTGCTGTTATTTATAGCAGAGAAATGTCATGAAGCTGCCAGGAGTTCTAGGCTAAGTTTGTAGGGTAGATTGGTGGACTGGGGCCTCTGGAATCGTGCAATCCTGGCTGGACATTCACCAGCCACCCAGCTGGACTTTTGGCAAATTACTTAACCCCACTGTATTTCCTTTTTCTGTTCTTTAACATGAGGATAATAACAATATCTTCTTTGTAGTGCTGCTAGGATTAAAAGAGAAAATATGCATAAGGTACTTGGCACAGTTCCTATTACTGTGACTTACCAGTATGCAAAAAATGTATTGTTGTAGGCAAACTGATCCCAAGGCACAGTTGGGGAGCTTCAATATTTTGTACAAATGAAAACTTTTATATGGTATTGAATTTAATGATATGACTATCATAAATTCTGACTAAAGAATATGAGTGTTTATTGTAAAATCTGTAAACTCAGATGGATTTTAAAAAGTGACACAGTGTACAAGGGCTTTGTTCTTTTTTTTTTTTTCCGATTTGTGTATTATATGTGCAGCATGGCTATTATCTACGGAGTGTTCTCTGCTTCAAATTTGATTACACCGTCGGTGGTTGCCATTGTAGGACCTCAACTCTCTATGTTTGCCAGTGGTTTATTTTACAGGTGAGTAGTGTAATCTTGCACTTATTTAATTAGAACACTTTTCAGGATCTTTCAAGTAGATAGTAAACTTTTCACAGTAATTTATAGACTTGGACTGAATAAAATATAGGTGGTGTTTTAGGAATTTTGGCTCAGTACTTGTTGCTGAGGGATATCATATTCTAATGTGATAGGATGTATCTATATCTACTTTTGTTTCACGAATAGAAATAGTATCCAAAAGTCTCTTTCTATGAGGGTTGAAAAGAACCGTCTATGAAATAATCTTATTTTCTGTCAGTTGACTGAAAATAAGTGGGGATTCAAATGAAATAACTAAATGTTTCTCTGAACTCTAGAACTATAGTTCCATGATGTGCTAAGCTCTTGGCAAAGAACACTGCAAACCTGTAAAATGTCTGATTTTACAAATTTGAAATAATAAATTATGGGCCAGGCACAGTGGCTCCCACCTGTAAATCCCAACACTTTGGGAGGCCAAGGTATTGCTTGAGCCAAGGATCACTTGAGTCCAGGAGTTCGAGACTAGCCTGAGCAACATGGTGAAACCCCGTCTCTACCAAAATAAAAAAAAATTAGCCGGGTGTGGTGGCACATGGCTGTAGTCCCATCTACTTTCGAGACTGAGGTGGGAGGATGACTTGAGCCCAGGAGGTGGAGGTTGCAGTGAGCTGTGATGGTGCCCCTGCACTCCAGCCTAGGCAATAGAGTGAGACCCTGTCTCAAAAAAATTAATTAAGTAAGAAATGAGAAACTTGATTGTGTTCCGTTTTTCAAAACTGGAGCGATCCTTTATAGGTTGAGTTTTAAAAGAAGAGAATGTCAGAACTGATTCCTAGAAGGCATAATTGGCACTCTATTTCAGGTATCGTTTGACTATAATACCTTGACCTGTTATATTTTAGCATGTACATTGCCGTTTTTATCCAGCCTTTCCCATGGTCCTTCTACACAGCCTCTGTTTTCATTGGAATTGCTGCCGCTGGTAAGCATTTTGATTTTTAACTTATCTGCTTTCTTTTCTGGGGCCTATCTGAGGGTATTATTTATGTGTTTAGTATGTAACTCTTAAGTGAATTTCTTTCTCTTGATAAACTTTTGGGTTGAATTTTAGTGCTTTGGACAGCACAAGGAAACTGCCTGACAATAAATTCGGATGAGCACACCATTGGGAGAAACAGTGGAATTTTCTGGGCACTTCTGCAGTCTAGGTAATTCCCCTTTTGAAGTTCAGTCTTTCTTTCTTTTTTTTTTGTCATACCATTTTTTAGGTCTTTGACAATTTGGATCTTCCATGTTACGTGACTTAAGTTCTAGCTAAATGTGACATGATTCCAATTTTATAGAATTGCTTGTAATGATGGCTGAGTATGCTGGCTCACTAGCTACTCAGGATTATTTATACCAATACTGAATATAGCATACTAAAATTCTTTTTTGAGACGGAGTCTCGCTCTGTCGCCCAGGCTGGAGTGCAGTGGCCGGATCTCAGCTCACTGCAAGCTCCACCTCCCGGGTTTA